GTAGCCACAAATTTGAAGACTATTTATTATTATTATTATTATTATTATTATTATTATTATTATTATTAATTTTGGTATTCATATTTATTATTTTGATAGAATTCTTGATTTATTATTGTTAGAATTTCCATTAATATGTTGATATATGTGTTGATTGATGTGTGACTTTGACATATTAATATTTTCATTACAAGTTTGGTATAAAAAAATAAAAATAAAAAAAAAAGCAAAAAAAAATGCATATTACATTGATTTTTTCATAAATTGATGCAAAAAGTGTTCAATATATATACTACATCGGTTTGTACGAGAACTGTTGTAACTTTATCCATTTTTTGCATCAATTTTAGAACTGATGTAGAATGTCTCTCACATTCTACATCGCCTGAATCTACATCGATTTTAGAACCGATGTAGATTATTCAAATAAACTGATGTAAAATGTCCCTATTATAGTAGTGTATATCAGTTTATAAAGTAAGAGTTGTGTTTTAGTTATACACTATTTATTATTCTTAGCTTTAATTGAGATGAGATTTTTTTTTTCAATACTTTTGTTAAGGATATACGTAAAGAGTCCATAATATATGGTTCTTAAACCTTTCACTGTCATGTATTTGTCTGAATTTTTAAGTGACTCATACAACCTGTCAATTTGCCAATATATTTGTTGACTTCTGTATTGGGATAACTCATCATGAAGTTAAAATATGGCTTAACAAAACTACCCCCCTTCGGCCATTACACAGGCCGCAAAGACCTCACGAACTCCCCCGTCGACCACCACACAGGTCGAACACTTCACGAAACCCCTATTCGGCCACCATGCAGAACGAATACCTTATGAATCCCCTTCAGCCACCACACAGGCTGAACACTTCATGAACACCCTCTTTGGCCACCACGCATGTTGAATACCTATGCAATCCTCTTCAGCCAACACAGGCTGAATACCTCACGCACCCCTCGACCATCATACAGCCTGAACGCCTCATGAACCCCTGTGGTGTTGACAAAACCCAAGTACGATAGGAACCCTCTTTGACTACTGAGTAGGCCGAGTACCCTTCAAACTCCTACAAAGAATCATATAGCCTGAGCATGTGTTCGGTCATGGAAACAAATGAGTTCCCGCAGTATTTGACCTGTCTTATCCTAATTAAGATTAAACGATCAACATCCACGTCATCCAAGATTAGGCAAAATCTTCTAATTACTAACACCTTAATCCAGAAATCCAATTAAGCCCAAATATGCTACTATAAATAAAAGGTTGATGGGATAGAAAAGATAAGTATGATTATTTAATGCTATAATATTTATTGCTCAAATTCAAATACTCACTTGAACGTCAAAGTGCCTTTGCAGGTACCCTCTCCACCAATTGGATCAAGGACTCAACATTTGTTATCTTCGACATTGAAGACTGAGGTCAAGAGCAAAGAGGAAGGATAATAGTGAAGTGTTCTCCACCAATTGGAACATTTTTTACGCCCACCGTGAGATCGAATCTCAACGACTTTCGGCCCTTCGAGCAAAGATTGTGGCAACTGTCGTAACCCAAAAAATTCCAGTCTTACAATTAATGGTTTGACTACCTTTTTGAAAAGTTTCATCAATTAATAAATGCTCAGAAACCAAACTAATCCTTAATTAATAATTTAAAAAATAGTTTATGGAGTCGTCACCAATGTTTTGCTTAAAAAACATTAGGAAAAAAAAGATTTTTAAAAAAAAACACCAATAATGGCCTTAATAACCAAAATCGGGTTCGGGGTCGATTACGTGTGAGAAAAGTATTAAGCACTCCCACAGCCCTAGATCGATACCCTATAATGAAGTTAACATGATAAGAATTAATGGATTAACTATTAGATCCCCTTTCATTAATAGTTATTTACATACTTAAAATTTAAAGAAAACGGTTTATCTCGAGACACCTACATGATGATCACTAGTACAGAATATACATTTTACGTCGGTCATATTAGGGGGTTTTACGTCGGAAAAAGATGCGACGTAGAAGCCGGAGACGTAAATTTACGTCAGGATGCGAAAATCGATGTAAATTTACGTCGAACATTACAAAGTCCGACGTAAAAAGTTGTAAAAAATTTATAAAAAAGAAAAAAAGAAAAATGACTGCAAGCAGAACGGGCCGTTCTGGTTGCAGAACAGTCCGTTCTTCATGGAGAACGACCCGTTCTGCAAGGAGAACGGCCCGTTCTCCAACCAAAACGGCTCGTTCTACAACCTGGACTTGGCCACTTCCTTCCCCAGCTTCAAAAACTCAGAATGCAATGCAAAACGAAGAACAGGTTACCTCAGCAGAAGACACCATGTGGATGAACAAGTATTTGGGCGAAAGAACCCACTGCCCCAAGACATGAAAAAATCCATTTTTTTCAGTGAGAAAACATTGTCAAGTGAAGAAAACGAAGAAAAGGGGAAATGGGTACCTTGTTGTACAAAATGACGCCGGAAGAGAGCAAGATGTAGACATAAGTGAGGAAGAGAGCAAGATGTAGACATAAGTGAGGAGGAGGCAGACAGATTGCACAATGCGCGGGAGAGTTTGAGTTTAAATTATTGATTTCACGATTGGATTATTTACGTCGGACCCTAAGAGGTTCGTCATAAATAATTTCACTAAAATTACGAACCATGCCACGCATTTTTATTACGTCGGATGTGTGTATGTCCGACGTAAAATGGGTGACATAGTATCCTATTTTTCCACTAGTGGATTATCTATTCAGAACAATATTTATTAAAATAATAGATAAGGAAAATGGGAGAAATATTAGCTGAAATATCTCTTAATCGAGCTCTATTAGACCTTCAAACCTAGAGATCTTTAGGCACTTTTTGGCTGTCTTTCATACTATAAAATACCTCATCGAATCTCAAGAAATACAGGAGGGAGGAGAGAGACAAATTTCAAACTATCAGACTAACTAGACAAATTTTTTTCGGCTCTTGGAGTAGTGCCCGAGTTTACTATTTATAGATGTCAGAACTAACTGGAACTGCCCGTTTTGATTTTGAAACGGCCCGTTCTAGGTTAGTTTGTTATGTGTTAAATTTGAATTTAGAACAGTCCGCTCTAATTCTAGAACGGCTCGTTCCAGACTTGAACTTGATTCATAACAACCGATGCTGCAACGGCCTGTTCTGGCCCGTTTTCTTTTATATAAAGTTATTGAGGGATGTAATACTTAGTAAAAGTTACACCAGTATTATTATAACCCTTCTCTTTTAAAATATTATTTTTATAAATTCAATTTTAATATTTTAAATAAATTATTAATTAACTTAATATATATTTATTCATATTAAATCTAAGATATAAAATTCAAAAATGTATTTATTCTTGTTTTATTTTCTAATTATCAACCATTAATAAAATACTAATTTAAAATCTTATCTAATCATAATATTTTCATATCAAATTTAAAATAAGATATTAGTATGTTATTTTTTATCATTATTAATTTATAAAAATAAAAAATTTAAAATGATGATTTTTAATAATATTTATTTTTTACCAAATATTCTTTACATCATGTAGAGCATAAAAAATTTTGTCCTGCATCCCGCCAAGGTTATCTACGAAAAATTTGTAGATAACGTTACGAAAAGTTTATCCGTAGATAACGTTATCTACGAAAAGTTTTTCGTAGATAATCCACGAAAGTTGTTATCTACGGATTTATCTGTAGATAACGTTATCTACGAATAATTTTTCATAGATAACCCACGAAAGTTGTTATATATCTATGAATTTTATCCATAGATAATTAAACATTATCCACAGAAAAAAAAAAATTTGTAAGTAATATTTCGTAAATAATTAAAAATGATCTACTAAAAACATTCCAGAGGTAATATTCTGTAGATAATTAAACATTATCTATGAAAAAAATTCATAGGTAATATTCTGTATATAATAACAATTTTTCTTGTAGTGCAATCCCCCCCCCCCCTTCTAGATTCGTGTTCTACTCAAGACCAACAATCTAATCCTCCAAAATAAGTAAATAAGGAACTATAATATGTTGAAAATAAATAGGAAGATTCTACAAATATTTTCTCTATTTAGGATAGGTAATGCCTCTGTACCCATTATACATAATATTTTATATGGTGAAGGAATTAAGTATAACTCACTTAGTATAAGTCAATTTTGTAATAATGGTTATACTATAGTCTTTGGCAAAAAAATCATGCATAGTTAAGTAAAATGATGGATCTACGATTTTTATAGCTCAAAGGAAGAACAATCTCTATTAGATTTATTTAACTATTTTAAGTACATAGAATGTTACATGTCTAGTATTCAGAGAAGATGAAAAACTTATTTGGCATAAAAAAAACTTGGACATGTCAATATGAAACATATTTCAAAATTAACCAAAAAGGGTTTGGTAAAAGGATTGTCTGAGATTTCTTGAAAAACTCATCTTCTTTATGAAACATGTTAGAAGGGAAAATAGACAAAATCATCTTTTAAAGCTAAAAGGAAGTTTCCACTTTGAGATCACTATAACTGTTACACATGAATTTGTTCGGTCCAACTAGAACATTAACTTTAGGAGGGTCGAATACATAACCGATCCAACTTAAAGTTTAGATTGACTGGACCACCGATTCCAGGTTCAACTGATCTGATTGGCTGGTCTGATCTAATTTTTAAAATACTGGTTAAGTTACATGTTATTTTGAAAATGATGAAATGAAAGAAGAATAATTAAAATGGAATTTTACAGACAAAAAATTAGAATAATAATGATAAGTAAAAAATAATAATAATAATCTTCAAATTTACCTCTACCAAAAAAATATATATATAAGAAAGAACATAAAAATCTAGTGATAGAAATGGGGACAAAATAAAATAAAACAAAAAATTTGTTAGCACAAACTCAAAAATTAAAGAAAAATATTGAATCATTAAGGAAATAAAATAGGCTTCCTAGTAATGTTTATAGAGAGGGAGAAACTATAGGAAGAGAAAAATATCAACAATTGTTCTCTAATCATGCACATTCCTTTGAGGCACCACTAGTGCAAAAATTGGATTTAAAATCAGGCACCACTAGTGCAAAAATTGGATTTAAAATCGGAGTTTTAAAATCGGTTACAAGGTAACCGATCTTAAAAGTGACGCGGTGACATTTTTGTAAATAATATGAACACTTTTAAGATCGGTTAAAAATTAACCGATCTTAAAAGTACTTTTAAGATAGGTTATTTTGTGATTGATTTTAAAAGTGCTACTTTTAAAATCAGTTATTTAATAACCGATTTTAAAAGTGCTACTTTTAAAATTGGTTATTTCAAAACCGATTTTGTGTATAGTATACAAAATCGGTTTTTAAATAACCGATTTTAAAAGTATCGTCAAAAACCTTTTATATTTCCCTCCATTCTCATTCTCTTTAATCTCTCCCTTCATTCCTTTTTTTTACTCTCTCGCGCTCTCATTTTCTAAAGTCTCAAAAAACGTAAATTTCATTGTCGTTTTTGTTTTCGTCTTTTCATGCTCTTCTCGTGTTCTTTTCGTCTTCTCATGCTCTTCTAGTGTTTCTATTTTCGTTGCAAGTTCATTTTGGGTAAATTTGTATCTGGAACGGCCCGTTTTGCAAGGAGAACGGGCCGTTCTGGATTGGTTTTAACTTACTCCAAACTATCCTAGAACGGCCCGTTCCAAATTATAATTTTAGGTCTTTTTAACAACCTGGAACGGCCCGTTCCAGTTTTGGAACGGTCCGTTCTAGTTTAATTTTTTTTCAAAACCCACGTTTTTAAGATCGGTTAAACTTTTAAAATCGGCTCTTTTAAAATTGGTTATAGAACCAATTTTAAAAGTTAAAAATAACCAATTTTAAAAGTCTTTTTTCCACTAGTGACTATTAATGAGATTTAAATATCCACCGCTACAAATATTTTAGAGGGATTTAAATTTCATAATGAGAGAAATAAGATTAAAAAAATGATAAGAATAAGAAAGGAGAAGTTTGACGGTGAAAGAAAAAAAATATTAAAAAAATCAATTTTAATTTTTGAATTGATTCAAAGAAATCATGTATAAACTAGATCAATTAGGAGGTCTCATATATTTATTTACATTACTAAAAAGAGTTGTTTGTGATTATTAAGGGTTTGATCCGATTGAATGGACAATGAATATATTTCTTTTCATTAATGATTGTAAAAGGATATGAATAAGACAGATATAAAAAAAGAGGATTTATTTTAGATTCAATAATAAATATATGATTCGGATGAGAAAAAATGTGGAAAAAAAATTAATTGATGCATAACCAATAAAGTTATACCATAAAACTGATTTTAAAAAATTATTAATATTAAAAAATAATTAAAAACTGATAAATAAAATAAACTAATAAATATATAATTATGTGACAAACACTTATTATATTAACAAACTATAAAAAATATATAATATAAATATGATAAATAAATAAAAAAAATTACATGAATTCTTTTTCATTTTAAAACTGTCCATAATTTATAATTAATATTTTATTATGACTTTACAATTTTCTATATTACTATTAAGATACCTGTTTTTTTATTAATTAATGCTTATTTTAATACCATTTATAATTAATATAGTTTTAAATTTTATAGTATAGTATTTCAGGAGAAATTTTAGAGGGATATTTACATAACAAAAAAATCCTAACGTGAATTTTCATTACAATGTTGTACATGTGAAATTTTGTTTACGTGAATTTTATCAAAAACATTATTGTAATTTTTATATATATTTATTTTAAAAATTTCCTTAATTAATATTCTATTATGTCATTATAGTTTTAATTTTTTTTTAAAAAAAAATATATTGAAGGAAATACTATTTTTATTTTTATTTATAATATCTAAAATAAAACAATTACTTATTTATTTTTATAAGACCTAATTCATATTATCTCATATACCGTATTACTTATTTTTAGATAAAAATATCAATAATTAAAGTGTTATGATAATCTAGTAAAATCATTAATTATAAGTTCTTTAAAAATATATAATTTAACTAGGAGAAAAATGAATATTAATTAGAAGTGAAAAATTGTATAGGGTGTGCACTAAAGTTGATTAGAAGATATTAATGAGTATTAATTAGAAAAAGAAATAATATAAGAGTAGTTTTAGAAAATAATACTATATATATAAACAAAATAATTATTGTTTATCAAATATATTAATTCCTTTTTTTAATCTTCTAAATTAAGTAATTGGATCATATATTAACAACTAAATTATTTTTTTGGACTGAATAATTCAAAAGTTGTTACTTGTTATAATTTTGTTTATTTATTGAAAACTTCTCATAATTAATAATAAATGTAATTAGTATTTTATTTTATTATGTTGTTACAGTTTCAATTTCTTATAATTAATGTTTTTTTAAAAGCTCATAGAAAATAATGCTTCAAAAATGTTTGAGAAAGAATAATACTTTAAAGTTGTTCGTTTTTTTATAATTTATATTTATATTAAAACTACCCATAATAAATAAAATTAATATTTTATTATGCTTTTTGAATTTTTTACAATTTATATTTATATTTAAACTACTCATAATTATAAAAGGACCAAGAATTTATTCTTAACAATATTTTATAATAAGGATTGGAAAGGAATAAATAAATATGATTTTTTTTATTACTATCAATTAAATGAACAACTTTTTTTAATCTTGGTAAATTAGATAATTGAGTCTCATATTACCAATTAAATTGTTTGTTTGGAATGACATAAAATAATTTTTTTATTATCAACTAAATTAATTATCTTTTTTTTTTTTGGAAAATCTTGAAGAAAAATAACAGTACCTTTCTTCTTATTTATAACACCCAACTTAAAATAATTGTTTGTTAATTTATATAAGATTAAAATTTCAATTCGTTTTCTCTCATATATTCATTATTTTTATACTAAGATATCCCTAATTAAAGTGTATTATGTTAATTTGGTAAAATAGATTAATTATAAATTCTTAGAAGAGCGTGCACTTTAACTGACTAGGAAAAAATGAATATTAATTAGGAGAGAAAAATAGTATAGGAATTTACTATAATATAAAGAAGTAGTATAAGAGTAGTTTTAGAAAATAATATTATGTAAATAGGACAATTTTTTTACATTAAATAAATTAACTACTTTTTTTAATCTTAGTGAATTAACTAATTAGATCTTAAATTAACAACTAAATTCTGCTTGGAGGGAAATTATAGTTCAGAAGTTGTTTCCTTTTAATTTTGTTTATTTATTTAAAACTTTTCATAATTAATAATTCATATAATTAATATTTTATTTTATCATATCGTTGCAGTTTCAATTCTCTACAGTAAATGTATTTTTGGTGAAAAATATGATGCAAAAATAATGCTACAGAAGTTGTTTTCAAAGAAACAATAATTTTGATATTATTTTTTTATAATTTATATTTATACTAAAACTATCCATAATTAATAAAATTAATGTTTTATTATGTTGTTAAAATTTCACTTTTCTATAACTAGATTATTTTACGTGAATTTCATTATAATTTTTTATACATGAAATATTCTTATGTTAATTTTGTAAAAGAAAATTTAGCATAATTTTTCTTATTTATATTATATAAAAAAAATTATATGAATTTTCATTACAATTTTATATACATGAAATATTCTTTACAGAAATTTTGTGAAGGAAATTTCAATGTAATTTTATTATTTATATTCATTTTGAAAAGAAAAAAAACTACTCATAATTAACTAATTAATTAATTTTTTATCATATCATTACAGTTTCAATTTGTTACAAATAATTTTCTTATGGAAATTCTCGTAATTAAATAATATTATGAAGAAAATTTATTGCATGCAGATAATATATAAAAAATGAAAATTTATTATATAAAGAATTTATATTTTAATAAGTAAGACAACCGGTAAAACAATTATTAATGTCTTCTTTCGTTTGTTATACAATGCTACAATTTCGAACATTTGAACATGTAGTATTTTATTATGTGACAACAATCAGTGAAACTAAATCATCAATAAGAGGTTTGGGCTCGTTTTTGTCAATTCATTATATTTATAGCAGCAAGTCAACAAGAATCCCAAATATCAGGATCTTGATTTTTGACTTTACCCCAAAATCTCATTCACTGTGGTAATGCCTAGATAGAACAAAACAAACAGTGAAATTTAAAAATACACACATACACAAAAAAAAAAAAATGATCAGTTAATCTTTACTAAGCTCACATGAACCAGGACTACGTACCACCTAATCTACCAATATTATTATATCTCCACGAGTCATTATTGTGTTAATACAGGTTACCAAACCCCAAATCCTTTTCACAAAGTATAACAACGACTCGAGCAATCAAATCAAATAAAATAAAATTCAATACAAATCACATATTTGACTATCATGTACAAAATAATTAAAAATCCGGAAATGGTACGCAGTAATAGTATTATCACCTTGACAATCTCTTTTCGTCGAACTTTCCCCGTGTGTGTATAACGAGAAAATCAACAACAACAACAAGAAGAACAGTACCTCGATGAATACATAATTTCACATTACTGCCTCTCTAAGTCGTGTTGAACATCATCATTCGTAGAAGGTTGGATTCTCGTGGACGATCTCTCCCTACTAAGAATCCTCCGGAACGAACTCAACCTCGAATTTGAAGAGCCACCAATTTTCGGTGAGCCATCGGAAGCGACGGCGGGGCCCTCACGCGGCTGCGGCTCGAGGCGGGGCGGTTCGGCTTTGGTCCGACAAAGGGGACACGTGGAGTGCGACGTGAGCCACGTGTCGATGCAGCTGACGTGGAAACTGTGTTTGCAATTGGGAAGTAACCTCACCAATTCTCCGTCTTCTAGAACGCTCAAGCACACGGAACATTCCACAGAATCGTGTTCTTGCTTGAAGGGGAAGGTGGGAAGGGTGGTTATGAGAGTAGGGTCGAGGCCTGTGTTGGGTGGTTCGGCGTGGTTGTGTGCGTGAGCCACGTTGAGGGTGAGAAGGTGTATGGCGTTTCTGCGGCGAGATTGGCGCCTCAGAACGAACCTTGCGTAGAGGTGAAGTGCGACGACAAGGACTAAGACCGCGGTTAAGGAAACTATGGCCGTGATGAGTATTCTTCTGTTGAAGTCGCTGTGGTCGGGGAAATGGTCATGGTCGTGGTCGTGATCATCGTCGAAGTAACTCATGGCTAGCTTTGTACGTGTTGATGAAATGAGGGAGAAGGATTAAGGGGTTTTTTTGTTTTGGTTTGGTTTGGTTTGGTTTTGGGGTTTATGAGGACTTTGTTTAGTTGGTGTGGAATGGATTGGTGCTGTTGGCTTCTCGGTGTGGAGTGAAAACGAAAATGGCCAAAGTCTACACGGTCTTTTTCTTTTGTATATATTCTTCTTCCATTGTGGCTAAAAAAGTCCATGCCCTTAACTAACAAGAAACTCCCAGTTTTTCAAGGCTTTTGACTGTTGAACATTGACGCTACTCATCTCTATCTATCTGTTAAAAGTAAAACCAATGGGAATGGGAGAGTGGAGAATTGTTATTTGTTTCACACCATTTGCTTACTGTAAGAATAAAGAAACAACTTTGATAATCTATGCTGCACTCATACTGTACTTATTATCGGTACATATATATACTATATAAGATATATAGTAAAAAAAAATTAAGTCTTTCATATTAGTAAAAAAGAGTTATAAATAATTGTCATCATAAATCACTTTGTATTGCCTATAAATAAGATTAGTATCAATTTCATTCCTTTCTTGATGAAATAATCATTCATAAAGATGACAATCTCCAAAAAAACAAAAATCATCAACGACAAGGCAAGGCTTCTATATTTTATATGTAAATAAAATTTATTTTGAAGGAGAATTTTTTTATTTATAATGATTTTATTCAATTTGAATAAAGTTATCTTCAATAAAAAAAAATACTTATGATTTATACAATATATATATATATATATATATATAGTTGTATTTGATTAATTTTCATAATTTGTTTTAAATATTTGAATTCTTAATGTATATGCATAAATGAAATATCTAATTGTATCGATATTAAACATATATAAATGAAGCAAATTAGAGTATATGTACTTTGTGGGTGATGATTATTTCACTAAAAACAAGATTGAGTTTTGATCTTTGTGAGCCTGACTCATCCTTAGATTCCTTAAGGTTTAAAGATATATTTTTTTGGTGATACATATCTTAGGCTTTTGGAACCCTTGTGTCATCAAAATTGTGAACATAAAAATAGAACATTTGAAAAGCATATCAATGTTGCACTCTTGACAACTTGACATTGTGGAAGATTATTTTCAGGTACAAGGTTCACTCCTGAATGTGAATCAACCTCTTAGATCAGTTTATACGGTTCCTTCTTTGTGTTCCTTTGATCGAAAGGGTTGTGAAATCCTTCAAAGGGTAAAACATTAATTCTTTGTGTCAATGATTGATTGGTTGTCTTATGAGCTTATGTGTCAAGAGTTCTTTATGAAATTAGGTTTTGTAGAATTGTAGTTGAATAATTATGTATGACTTATTGTGGTGATGTGAAATTGGATTCATTATATGTTGATAACTATGAGATATGGATTGAAAAAGTATTAGAAATTAATAATAGACACTTGTTAAGTGAGCTTAAGGATTTTGCAAAAATCTCAAAGTTTTGCATAATCATGAGTCTATGCTTATAAGTGTAGATATCTCCTCACTTAATGTGAAGCTATACCAAATAAGCATGAGATCCTTCATACTAAGCACCAAAATTACAAAACCCCTAATGTTGATGCTAAGTGGGACCTAGTTCTCATTAAGCACACAAGCCATAGGGAGAATAATATGTCCTATGCAAATGCTACAAAAATAAATAAATAAATTCTTGTAGTGACACACTCTATAATGACACATTGTACTGTCACTAAAAATCATTTTTACTTATAATTATATTTTCATAATTGTTAAAAAGTGTATATATGAGTTATATATAATAATACATAATATATATTGAATTTTGTTCAAAATCAACACTAAAATAATATGTGGATATATGTCAAATAAATCTATATCCACATGCATTGCATCTATAATGGATTTTGTCGTATATCATTTTATGGAACATTTCTTGTAATGTAAGTAAGACACTTTCTCGGCATGAGGCCCACAAGATGGTGCCCAAGGTTCTAACTCTTAATGTAAGAGTCACAAAGAGTATCATTATTTTGGATGCCAAGTTGGAGCCTACACTACTAGAAAATTGCAAAATAGCGACCAAAATTAGCGACCGAAATTTATCAATTGCTATTTAGCGACTGATTTAACGATCGATTATGAAAAATCAAAATAGCGACCGATTTAGCGACCAAAACAAGTCGTCGCTAGCAAATCGGTCGCTATTTCGGTCGCTAAATTATAAATTTTGATTTTTTTAGCGACAGAATTAAATTCGGTCGCTATTTCGATCGCTAAATTATAAATTTTTATTTTTTTAGCGACGTAATTGAATTCGGTCGCTAAATAGTAGTTAAATTAGCGACGAAATTGAATTCGGTCGCTAAATAGTAGTTAAATTTAGCGACAGAATTGAATTCGATCACTAAATTATAAATTTTGATTTTTTTAGCGATGGAATTTAATTCGGTCGCTAAATAGTAGGTAAAATTAGCGACGGAATTAAATTCGGTCGCTAAATAGTAATTAAATTTAGCGACAGAATTGAATTCAGTCCCTATTTCGGTCGCTAAATTATAAATTTTGATTTTTGTTAGCGACGAAATTTAATTCGGTCGCTAACTAGTAGTTAAAATTAGCGACGGAATTGAATTCGGTCGCTAAATATTAGTTAAAATTAGTGACGGAATTAAATTCGGTGCTAAATAGTAGTTAAATTTAGCGACGAAATTTAATTCGGCCGCTAAATCAGAAATTTGGAGTTTTTTAGCAGTGGAATTAAATTCGGTCGCTAAATATTAGTTAAAATTAGTGACGGAATTGAATTCTGTTTCTAAATCAGAAATTGATTTTTGTAGCGACAGAATTAAATTCGATCGCTAAATATTAGTTACAATTAGCAATGTAATTCTATTTGGTCGCTAAATATTAGTTAAAATTAGCAACGAAATTCTATTCGGTCGCTAAATATTAGTTAAAATTAGCGACGAAATTCTATTCGGTCACTAAGTAAAACTTAAAAAAAAATTATAAATTGCTTAAAAGTGATGATAATATTGTTGTTGAGTATCAATCTCATTTTCTTCTTTTTGTAAGAGCAAGACATTAATTTATATTAAAAAAATATTTATATGCACTCCTACATAATTAATACCAATAGTTATTTATATGAAAAAATATTTAGAGGTTTTTTTTTTACGATTGGATTTTTAGACAGTTTTTTAATTAGAGTATATGAATTTTAAAATTTCTTATTTATTTTGATCCATATTTATAATATATATTTCTAACTTATGATAACTTTATTTTTAAATAAAATTTTATATTTAAATTTTAAATTAGTATTTTATTAATGGTTGATAATTAGAAAATAAAACAAGGATAAATACATTTTTTGAATTTTATATCTTAGATTTAAGATGAATAAATATATTAAGTTACTTAATAATTTATTTAAAATGTTAAAATTTAATTTATAAAAATAATATTTTAAAAGAGAAGGGTTATAATAACATCGGTGTAACTTTTACTAAGTATTACATCGCTCAATAACTTTATATTAAATGTGAATTTTATAAATTCAACCGTTAGATTGAAAGTTTTTTACTCTTAGATCATATATACAAAATCTTATATGAATTCAAGATGATTTGATACTTCATTCTTGTAAAACAAAATTGACGTAATATATACATTTCAAATAAAATATGAGCACTTTGATTACTTTTAAGTTGTTGTTCAATTTTAACAAAAATTGATATAAACATATAAAGTGATATGAACTTTCAATCTAACGGTTGGATTTACAAAATTCACATTTAATATAAAGTTATTGAGCGGTGTAATACTTAGTAAAAGTTATACCAGTGTTATTATAACCCTTCTCATTTTAAAATATATAAATTATTACTTAAACTTTTAAATTTATAATAAATAATTTAAATTGTATCATAAAATTAATTTTAAATAGAAATAAGTAGATTGTTAATTATAAAAGTAAGTATATATATAAATAAAGATTAATTAAATATAATATAATTATTATTATTAGTAATATAATTATTATATATATTATTATATATTTATAACGGTCCGAATATACCAAAATGATAAGGATCCAAAAATAATATAAGTATGAGATTGGATAGTTGAAGATGACTTAAAAATGAATTAATTTGTACTACTTATACTAACAACATGCATTTTCTTTTCGGTAGCTTATCTCATAAGAACTTCACAGTTAAGCGTGCTTGACTTGGAGTAATATAGGAATGGGTGACCTTCTGGGAAGTTTCCAAAAATTGTGTAATTAAGGACAAAACATGCTAAAAACTTAAGTATTGTGAAATAAAATCCTTAAGAAGCCAAATATGAGTGGTTCACAGCGACCGAATTTGCCAACGTCTATAAAATTTAATAAAAAATATATATATTTAGCGAACGATTTATTCGGTCACTAATTTGGTCTCATACACTTCAGCAACCAAAATCATTTCAACCATTTAGCAACCACAATTTTCAGTCACTAAATAGCGACCGAATTAGCGACCAAAATTTTCGATCGCTAAGTTATTTAGCGACCGATTTTGATGGTCGCTAAATTGCATATTTTTTGTAGTGCTATATGCACTAAGCATAGAAGTTCTAGAGAGCAATCCATACTCTTTGTACTCTTGGGATTAAGCAAGAGATACATTATGCTAACTATGAGCTTCTTGACTGATGTTAGATAAATTTCAATAATTGAATTGTGAATTGAGCTATTATACTTTATATAATGAAACATGAGATTTGAGATATGAGATATGAAAGGATTTATTCTATATAGAATAGGATCTACCACTAACCTTAAGAAAATGAGAGATAGGAATCAAATATTTAGTTGGCTTTTATTTTAAGCTTGATGACCACAGAAACATGTTAGGATCAAGTGGTGTCTAGTGACAAAGTCAAAGTTTAACCACATGGTCGCGGGTTGTAATTGTAGTGATTGCAAGAAGAGTTTTTCCAAAGCTCCACAGTTAATGTCAAAATATTCTAGTACGAAGAACTATCTCTAGAGAACCCTCACTATTATCCAAAACTTAAAATATCCAAAGAGTGTAATCTACCTTTGTTCTTGTCCTGAATCAGAGTCTTATACTATTTATCTTACATTAATGAGTTATGTGATTTATGTTATTTTCATCTTAATATATGAAATTATTATTATAACATTATGATATTCAATTTGTGAATTGATGGTATGGATTCTCGCATTAAATCTTTTGACTTAGTAATATCTTACAATCCCTAGATTTAAATTATTAACTTGAGCATTGGTTGTACAATGATTATGAAATAAATGTATAGGGAGATATCTAAATATATAAATAATTTAAAGCTTTTTGGAATATTTTTAAAATGATACT